CCCCAAAACCCCAAAACCCCAAAACCCCAAAACCCCTAGCCAAAAGTAGACTATTGAATAACTGATTAAATTATTCTTCTTTTTCTTCTTCATCTCTCTTAAGCAAGTTTTGGATGATGTCAGCTTTCTCAAAGATCATGGTAAAGTATTTCTGAGCACCGCTTTCAAGATCCTTAGCTCTCTTCTCAGTTTTCTCTTTTATAGTTGAGCTGATTGATTTTTCAAGGTTATCTAACAGTTTCTTCTGTTGAAGAACTGCCCTGTCCATTGTCTTTTTGAGGTATTGGAGCCTACCTTCCCAAGAAGCAGTGCTCTCGTCTGCCTTTTCTTCTTGGATAACAATGATGTACTTTGAATCTTTAAAGACCTTCTTTCTGTTAAGCAACAGCTCGTTCTCTATCATGATTCCTGCAAATTCTTTCAGAGTGTTGTTCTCTTGTGCTTCCTGGACTCGGTCGAAAATGTCCCCCATGATTGCAATCAGCAAGTTCAAGAATATAATCAGAGTCACCATTGTGTTCAAGAACCAGATAAGGAATAAGTAGTACTTGTCGTCATCTACGTAAGCTGATGTGTCGAAGTTGCCCATGGCTTGGTTATACGAGTAAATAAACGCTCTCCAGTACGTGTGGCCAGTGAACGGGTCATCTGTTCCATAGTTCCTTGCCATTATCATAAAGCAGTTTCCGAAACCTGCCACAGATAAAATGAACACGAACAAGAACGACTGCATGTTTATCGTAATTTCAATGACCATTGTAATCAAGGCTGCAGTGCTTTTGAAGATCCTTCCGAAGTAAAACACTTTGAGCCACATGAACAACACCGCCCAACTCATAAGGACGTTGAGGTCTTGCTCGTTGAGTCCAGCCACATCTCAGATGCAAATGGTGCTGTTGAGGATGAGCGACACAAGATCAACCATATTCCAAAACGACATGAAGTAGTCAAGCTTGTGGAAGAGGATCTGCCTGACTTCGTAGTAGAAGAAGTACAGAATGAACAGCATTATACAGATTACGCTCAGAGTGTTAGCGAGTCCGTATCCTTCCCACTCTCCAGCTCCGTCGTCGACTTTGCTTTTGTGGATCCAAGTCGAGTAGAGTACGAACAGAGTGATGTATACCATGTAAGGGATGAACAAGAAAATCACGATGTAGGTCCTGTAGTAGCTCCAGAGGAACCTAATGATGTGCCTCACAAGAGTCAACGAAAACAGTTCAGTTCCTTCAATGTTGTAGAGAGTCCGCAAGAAGTCGACTCCTTCGTTCTTGTTGAAAATCCAGTCGAACTCGATGGCTCTGATGTCGAGTCTCTTCTGTTTTCTGCGCTCCTTTTCCTTTTCGAGTTCTTCTTTGGTCTTGGGTTTGGCGACTGCAATTTCATTGAGCATTTCGTCTTCGCTATCTATGGCAAGCGTTAGAAGCTCCAGACTCTTAGCGACAAATGATGTAACGATCGAGCAATAGAAAAAGAGAGATCCTTAAACTTACCTTTGTCAACGATGGAGTTTTTGTTTCCGTCGATGTCGTCTTCTTGCTCTTTTTCGTTTTCAGGGAGTTGGTTCTGCTCTTCTTGTTTGGCCTTCTGTTCTTCTCGTTCTTTGTCTTCTTGCTCTTTCTTCTTCTTGGCTTCTTCAAGTTCTTTCTTCTCCTTGGTATCTCAGTACTTGTCGATAAAGACTTCATCAATGAGACAGCTTGAGTGAGGCACCAGGAGAGGGTCGCTCTGGTCCTTCAGCTTCAGGTACTTGATGTTCTTCATTTGGATAGTCTGGAAGTAACAAGAGTCCAAGTACTCGTGAAACGCCGTGATGCTCATCGATAACAGCTCGTTGAACCGGTCGTAGAACAGTGCAGACAGACTCGAGTTGCTGAACAATGATAGCTTCCGAAGCAGCAGCTCTGTGTTCTTGGGACTTTCGTTGTCAAGCGTGATGTCCAACGGAGACTTTCCTCTGTTGTTCTTCATGAGGATTCCAGTAAGGTACTCGTGTCGATGGGTCTCCATATAGTCTAGAATCAGCTTCAGTGTGTCGTACTCGAGTGCATAGTAGTGCAGAGACGTGCTTCCATCAACTTGGAACCGGATCCGTTCGAGACTGATGTTGTCTTCAGTGATGTGGTCGTCGTAGCGCACAATGTCTTCGAGTGAGTACACTTCGATGAGGGTTTCTTTAGTGATCACTCACCCATAGTCTAACACGAGGTCTTCGTTTTTGCTAATGCGGAGGCCTCCCTTCTGCTCATACATGCCTTGGTTTACGAAGTCGTACTCGAAGAAGTAGTTGATGAGCCCAGTATCTAAGTTCACGTAAGTATCTCCGTTCAGGATGAAGCCAGCCTTGCTTCTGTACCCGTTTATGTGATAGAAAGTCTTCGAAGTCGAGAAGTTCTGGGTTTCCTTGTTGTCCACGATGTTCCAGACCAAGATCAGGTGGTGGGTATAGTCCTTGATGAAGTCGATCACAACCGAGTTTGGATCCAGACAGGCTCAGATTTGGTTGATCGTCATTTGGCCTTTGTTGATTTGGAAGTTGATTCTCTCCATGGGATAAATCTTCTTCTCACGCGAATCATATCTGATGAACCAGCATTCTTCTTCGGTGTAGACAGCCACGCCTCCATTCTTGGCTCTGACGTTGACATCGTTGAGAGTGCGGTCCCGTGTGTTGTCGTAGGGATCTTTGCCGAACTTGCCTTCGAACTGCTTCTTGTCGACTTGCTGAGCATCGAACTTTATAATGCCTTCGGACTTGTGAATGTAAATGAGTTCTTTCCTGTCAGTCAGGTACAACTCGGTGCCTCCGTAGTAGTCGTAAGTGTTGACGTCCGAGGCTTTCTTTTCGTAAGCTTTAGTAAAGTCCATTTTGGAGACTTCTTTGAGGTAGAATTCCTTTGTTTCGGGGTTCAGACTTAGCTCGACTGTTTTACCCCATGAAATTTCTGGGTCATCTTTGTCTTCTTCAACATAAAATATGTATCTACCTGAAGGAGATAATATAATTTTGGCATAGCTGTGGTCATAACAATTATGAAGCTTAAGTTTCAAGTTTTGGTAAACATCCCCATTTCTTCAGAATATATCGATCTTTACATGGTCATTGTGGTTATATGATTGTTTATGATAAACCATATAATTATTATTTTGATAAAAGAAGTACTCTGCTTTATAGTATGAAACATCGTTTGGAGGAAGAATCTGAACTTTTGGTTGATTATATTCTGGCAATAAAATTGCCCCATATCCGTTCTTGCCTACAGTGTCGTCATCTTCTTCTGTATAATAAGACCCAGCTCCGTCGTCATCTTCGTTGTCGTCTTGTGCGAGCGGCCCGTAAATCAGAAGCCATCTTTGTGATTGTAGAGGGTACTCGTCGGTCACTTCGTAAGTGTCGATGGCTTCAATCAGAGGACTGATGGTGGCGCCTGAGCCTTCAAGTTCGTCACCTCTCTTCTGGCACAAGTAAGCCTCTGTTCCGTTTTCGTAAACCATTTTGTTGGTAAACCTAAAGTTCTTGCTTCCATCGAAACTGCTGTGGACAAAGAACTCGTCAGCAATGGTGAGTTTGCGTTTGTCTTTGGAAGTGTCAAACTTGTATCGTTTGAGGTACTTGACTTCATCGGCAATGTTGATGTGGTAGTAGCCGTTGTAGGAGTCATAGTCTGCTTGGACTCTTTTTATATAGTCTTGTGATTCATACAAACTGTATGAAGAGTTTCTATATCATTGTTATAAAAATCTTACATATCTCCCAAGTTGCTTGGCCGGTTGTAAAATTCTAGGGATTTCTTGTCTCTCTTGTATGTCAAAAAACCTTCTCCTGCGATTGCCATTAATTCTCCTTTTTCAAATTTGGAATCAACTGTGCTTTGAAGTCCATAAGTAAGCAGTCCAGCATAATAAACGAAATCTTTGAATTGCAAAATATAAGAGTCTTCTTCTTTTGTTCCGAATTTACATTGCATTGTATCAAAACCAGCTATAAGAAAAGTTAAGTTTAAATTCTAAAATTTTTTAAAAGATTTGAATTTCTTATTTGAAGATAACTTACTTATTAGCGGAGAGTCTGGGAAATTCGCCTTCTCTAGGTATCTCTTGAAAACTGTTCCTGAACTAGAAGTAGTTCCAAGATAAAATGTGTACTCTGCATAAGCAAGGTAATCTCCAAGATCAATAAATACTTTAATCCTTATATCATAATATGAGGTCGTCATTGATGATTGGAACAATATAGGAGCTTTCAATGGATAATAGTAATAGGTATCTTCAGGAATACTGTAAGCCAAAACTTCCATACCTCCCTTAACTAAAACAACAGCTGGGTAATAGAAGTAAATAAAGGTCGTCTCTTTGATAGGATATCTTCTTGTTGTGTTCCCTTCTTTATTTCTTACAAAAACAACATCAAAGGAAGATTGAGTGACATTTGAGATTATCATCACTCCATTATTATTTCAAATACCATAATCCTTAATCTTAGATATTTCAAGTTGTGAATCAAGGTCTGAAAGAGTCTTTTCGAAATTGATCTGACCTGTGACTTTCACACATAATTCATTTCTGTCGTTATACTCCATTCCAACAAAGTTATTGCCATCGACTTTACCCATGAATTGAGATTTATACTCAGTGTAGTTTCCTTTGTTTGAAGCAAAATCAATCTCAATATCTCCTTTTGTGGCGGTTGTATAGATCCTACAGACATTTCTATCCTTGTCGTTGGTTCCCACTCTAGAATGGAACTGCCTCGCACAAGATTCATCAAGATAATAGAGAGTAGGCCTGGTGTTGGTAGAAGTTCCTTTCGAAATCTCTTTAATTGACTCATCTTTAATATTGAATTCGTATAAATGTGTGTTGGTCATATCATATCCTCCAACATATAAAACATCAGTATTGCCAGGACTGACTTTGAAATCAACAAAGAAACAGCTCTTATGGTCTTCCTTAGATATTACATAATGCTTGTCTTCCTTAGTGTCAAGTATCTCATACTGAAAGATACTCACAGCTTTATCAAGAGTTTGACCCACCATGATGTATCTTCCTTTATTCCAAACGATGACATTAGGAATATGTCTAAATGTGTTGTATTCAGCCCATGCATCATCATAATCCTCTTCATCATCTGCTTCTACATCTAGCCCTGAAATATGATCAAGAGAGTAATTAACAAGATGCTCATCAACAACTTCGAGAGTGTAGGCATCTAGAAGTATCACTAGTTGCCTTTTGAGATTCTTTGCAAATTTTTCAACTAACACAATATGTTCTTTATCTAGAGAGAATTGGATCTGAAAACCTTGGAATTTTTGGTCTTTTGTCCTATTAAGCATGTATTCCTTATGTTCTCTATAAAAGTGATTAGCCATAAATTCTGAACAATTAGTGAGAGATTTATTGGTGACACTTTACCTAATCTTGTCAATTGTGTCCTTATCCTTCTTCAGACTTGACCCAGTTGAGTTGTCCAAGAAGTAATTATACTTGGTCTTCACACAGGTGAATTGATCGCACCTCCACAGACTGATCTGGTACTTATTCCTGAGTATCTCAGATTCGTAGGAGACGCCCTCAAATGTGCAATCTTGGTTGAAATTTAGGTAATCTGATTCAGAGTATGTTACCGTTTCGTATTTTGGCTTCTCCGTATCTTCTTCAGTTGGGGTCTTCACTGCAAATCTAGAGGAAAGATGATAAGTGCACATTGGGAGGTTTTATTATCAGATTTTTACGAATTTGTTTTAACTTACCTCTCATTTGCAATTTTTCCAGCCTCGTATCCTTGATTCGAGTTGTTTGGGCCGGCAGGGAATGGGCTGTAGCCATGGTAATGATACTTAAATTTATCATGATGCTTCTGAGTAGATCTATCAATTGTGTTATTAACCACCTTCTGTTTAAATTCTTCAGGAAGATTCTTAAATCTGTCTGTCATTGTCAATTCCGGCTCTTTTGGTTCTTCAGGCTTATTTTCAGGCTCTTCTTCATCAGCATTATTATCTTTGTCTTCTGAATGGTCATCATTGGTTGGGCGATCATCTTTAAGCTCTTTATCTTCTGAGTCCTTTTCTTCCTCCTGGTTGGCATTATCTTCATCTTTCTTTGTCTCTTCATCACCATCTATTTAAAATTTGATAAGAATAAAGTGAAATAAATATTAAGATACTTTAACTAAGATATATGAAACTGCTTTGTCTAAACAGCAGAAGGCCAGGAAAGAATAATTGCAACTGGTTGAATAAATCTCATACCTTTCTTAACAAGGGTATTTCCTTCAAGTGTTTCCTTTTCTTCATCAACGTTAATGGTCGAATCTTTCTTTTTATCAAGGATGCTCTTTGTGCTCTTGGTTTGCAATGACTTCTTTTCTTCCTCTAAACCACTTAAATAACTGCACACTGAGTTGGAATATACTAGGATATAGAAGAAAGAATGGTCCAGTATAGAATATTTACCTTCTTCATCAGAGCCATTTTCTTTATGATCAGATTTGTCCTTTTTATCTTGAGATTCTTCTTTCAAAATAGAGTCGATTTCTTTCTCTATCTCATCAGCTGTCTTATCCTTGAGGTCGCTCTTCTCTTCATCTTGGTCACTCAGAACCTCAACTGAGCTGTCATCATCACCTTTATTCTCTTCCTTCTTATCTTTATTTTTGCCTTTCTTCTTGTCATCTTCCTATTTAAAAGGTTACTATGCTTAAATAATTTTATTCTGAGTGGAACAGGACGTGTATGAGCAATTTTCCAGTTAGATTATGTATAGATGACTTACTCCTCCTTCGTAAGAGTCTTCTTCCGAACTCGAGTCAACTCCCAAGCCCATGCCCTTAGTTTCTTCGATAAGCTTATCAGCATTGTCAAGGTGAGGTGAAGAAGTCTTCTTGGTCTCCACAGGTGGAGCTGAATGTTTTATAGATGCAGTCCCGATTTTGAGATTTTTGGGTACGTTTTTGGCAGCCTTTTCTTCCTCTACTTCCTTCTCAGCATTGATAATCTCTTCTTTGAAGATATCCTTAGTTTTCTCATCATCAGGGAGTCCAGCAAAGCTGTACATGAAGTTGTTATCCATACAATGCTTCATGTTAAACTTTTTGTTCAATCCTGCTTCCTTATTCTTATTGGCAGGAAGTTTAGTCTCAGAAAGGACTACAATATGATCTTTATGCTTAGGGTGCAGTTTGACATCATTGTATATGAAACTGGGGAACTTCAGTTGCTTTCCATGGTTCTTGACAAAGCGGTTCACGTAGTCAATCTTTTCACTGAAAATATGTTTTGACATCAAATAATATTTTATAAAATTCAAATCCAAGACAAAATATAGGGGTTTTGGGGTTTTGGGGTTTTGGGGTTTTGGGGTTTTGGGG